TGCCATTTTATTTTTCATATTTTTTATCTTTTTTTCCTTCTTCCTCTTCTTAAAGAATACCCTTCAACATTTCATTTAATACTGGTTTGGTGGTGATGAACTCCTTTAGCTCTTTCTTCTCTGTGTAGCTCTTTATCTGACCTTCAATTCTAAATGAGAGCTTTGCTTGCTGACCAGTGTGGCTTAGTGGTTGAGTGTTGACCTATGAGCCAGGAGATCATGGTTCAATTCCCGGTCAGGGCATATGTCCTGGTTGTGGGCTTGGTCCCCAGTGTGGGGCGTGCAGGAGGTAGCTGACCAATGATTCTCATCATTGGTATTTCTATCTATCTGCCTTCTTCTCTGAAATCAGTAAAAAAAAATATTTAAATGAGAGCTTTGCTGGATAAAGTAATCTTGGTTTTAGGTCGTTGTTACTCATCACTTTGAGTGTTTCTTGCCACTCCCTTCTGGCCTGCAAAGTTTCTGTTGAGAAATCAGTTCACTGTCTTATAGGCACTCCCTTGTAGGTAACTAACTGCTTTTCTCTTGCTGCTTTTAAGATTCTCTCTTTGTCTTTAACATTTGGCATTTTAATTATGATATGTCTTCGTGTAGGCCTTCTTGGGTTCCTCTTGTTTGGGACTCTCTGTGCTTCCTGAACTTGTAAATCTATTTCTTTCACCAGGTAGGGGAAGTTTTCTGTCATTTCTTCAAAAAGGTTTTCAGTATCTTGCACTCTCTCTTCTCCTTCTGACACCCCCATAATGTGAATATTGGTACACTTGAAGTCTCAGGGCCTCCTTATACTCTCTTCATATTTTTGGATTATTTTTCTTTTTGCTCTTATGATTGGGTGTTTTTTACTTCCTTATATTCCAAATCACTGATTTGATTCTCAGCAACCTCTAGTCTACTGTTGAATCCATGTAAATTATTCATTTCTAAAAAATGTATTTTATTGATGTCAGAGAGGAAGGGAAAAGGATAGAGAGATAGAAACATCAATGATTAGAATCATTAATTGGCTGCCTCTTGCACACCCCCTACTGGGGATCGAGCCCAAAACCTGGACATGTGCCCTTGACTGGAATCAGATCTGGGACCCTTCAGTCTGCAGGCTGATGCTCTATCCACTGAGCCAAACCAGCCAGGGCATGTAAATTACTCTTTATTTCAGTTAGTATATGCTTAATTTCTGACTGATCCTTTTTCATGTCTTTGACGTTCTCACTAAGTCCCTTGAAACTCTCATTAAGATCCTTGAGCATCCTTATAACCATTATTTTGAACTCTGTATCTAGTTTAGTTGCTTCCATTTCATTTAGTACTTTTTCTGGAGATTTCCTCTGTTCTTTCATTTGTGACATGTTTCTTTGTCTCTGCATTTTGGCTGCTTCCCTGTGTTTATTTCTATGTATTATTTAGAGCTGTTATGTCTCCTGGAATTGGTAGTGTGGTCTTGTGTAGTAGGTGTCCTGTAGGGCCCAGCGGCTCACCCTCCACAGTCACCTGAGCCTGGTACTCTAGGTGTATCCCTGTGTGGGCTGCATGCAGTCTTATTGTAGTTGAGCCTTGATTGCTGTTAGTGTTACTAGGAAGAATTGACCTCCAGGCCAATTGTCTATGAGGACCAGCTGCAACTACAGTGGAAGAGCTTCTGTGCAAGAGACACCCCTATGGAATAGGACTTGCTTCATGGGGCTTTGGTGCTCACTGAGTCTGCCCCTTGAGTGTGTTACGGTGGATGTGTAGGGTTGTAATCTGGTATGGTCTGAAGCTGTCCACCTGGTGCACTGGGTTTGGGGCCTCTTGGGAGGTACAAAGTCAGCCACTGCCTAGGGCCACCTGGTAGGAGCTACAGAGTGATCTGCACATGGTTGCTACTTGTATTGGGCTTGGAACTGCATAGGCAAGGCCAAACTGTGAAACAAGGCAGGCTGGTGCTAGTGTCGGGTCTTGGGCCTCTTATTGATAGGTTTGGGGCATGCTGACTCCAGCTGCAGCTTGTTTGGGAGATTTTAGGAAAGCCTGAGGCCTGAGCTAGGACAGGCAATTCATATGAAAAAGCTGCTGCAAACAGCTTGGGTGGATCTGCAAATTGGGTGAGGTGGAGTCTTAGGGAATCTCTAGGGCGGAGTGAACAGCCTCAGATATGGCATCTGTGAGTCAGTTCTATGTTGGGGGAAGTCTCAGCATAGGAACAATGAACCCTGTGAGCACCTTTATCTGGGAGAAAGCCTCCCCTAAGTTCTTGCCCCGATGCCAGGCAATCCAGTTTCTCCCTATATGTCTCTGCATGCCCCCAAGCCGCTGCCTCAGTTCTGGAGCTCAGAGGGAATGAGTCTGAGTAAGTGCATGTACAGCCCCTTTAAGAGGAACTGCTGGGACTCTGGCAGCCTCTGTGTCACTCAGCCACAATCCCAGCTGGTTTGTATAGCCTGAAGTTAAGGGGACTTCTCTTCCCAGATCTGGGATCCTTGGCTGAGGGGGTCTGGTGTGGGAGGCCTCCGCAGCCAAGATATCCTTCCTAATTAGAAACACCACATGTAGGTTTCGGACCAGTCTGTCCTGCACTTCCAACACTCCTACCAGTCTCAATGGGCTTTCTTCTTTAATTCTCTAATTGTAGGACATCCATTCAGTAAGATTTCAGGCAATTCTGAATGATGGTTGTTCTGTATTTTATTTATAATTTTGATGTGGTTGTGGGAGGTGGTGAGTACCGTGTTTATCTACACTGCCATCTTGGTTCCTTCTATATATTTTTAATAAACTATATTTTTTAGTAGTAAGAGTTCCCATATTCCCTGAGCTCAATACAATATACAGATGATGTATTATGGAAGTGTGCATCTGCAATCTATATAAATTTATTAACCAATGTAACCCCAATAAATTCAATAATTTTTTTTTAATTCTGGTATTCTTTTACAACTTTGTCTTCTCTGGATTCCCCTAAGGTCCCTAATCCCTTTTATTCTCATATTGTGACATGCTTTTATGTAGTAACACAGAGAGGAAAAGCTAATAGAAGCTGAGATTAATTTTATTTTTCTTTTAAACAGAAGAAAGGAAAATGGTGGGGTTACATATTTATAAATATCTATAAATACAGAGCGATAGGCAAAGTCTTCCAAATAAATAAATAAATATTGCCACATGCTTCAAGACATAGGAAATTGTGGGGCTACCTTGGCACTGCCAAAGAGAAACCCCCCTAATAGATGGTATTGAGTTTGTGAGATTATAACCAGTTTTCTACTAAAGTCCTTTGGGAATTTTCCATCAGTATTGGGGAGCTTCCAATAGTTTTTATACAGTATAATATCTCCAACAGAAAATGAAAACTATATAAAGAGAATATTTGCCATGCACTGCTACATAGTATTATAGTTTTGGTGCTTCATAAAAGGAACTATTTCTTCAAGTTCAGCTTAAAACCATTAGGCCAAAACAGTTGTCCAATGTTTCTCTCATAAGTAAAAAGAACGGATGTTTTTAAGGTTGGGTACATGATAGCAGTGGGGGACAGGGGTGGCTGGGAAGAAGCTGTTGTTTAAGTCTGCTTGTTAATATTCTGCTCTTTGGGGGAGCCATTTAAGTAGAGGTAGGAAAATGGGGCCCGCTGTAGGAAGACCATACATTGTGGGGTAAGGCTAGGTGAGGACTGAGCAGCCATCCCACTGGCTGGTGCTCCTCGGCTGTGAGGCTTGGTTTTCCCCATGGTGGTATTGGGGCTCCTTGGCCTGAAAGCTGTCTTCATTTAATGCCCCCCACTTCCCAAGTGGATAAGACCCAGACTTGTCAGCCTGGGAGTGTTTTAACCAGCCCCCAGCCACTGCTGTTGGGTGGTAGAGATTGTATGAAGAGCTGACAGTGTGGTCTTTTCCTAACTCCTTCACTGAGGTGCCCTGGCTATTGGACTTCGCTTCCCCCAGGTCCTTGATGCCACTTCACTCAGAGGGCAGAATTTACCAGAATACAGAGAACCTAGCCCAGAGCAGCCCCATTGTCTCAGGACCCCTCCCTTCCCTGTGACATTTTTATAATCCATCCAGAATGGATTGCCACTGGACCTGGAAGTAGAGGCTTGATGAATTGCCTCTTAGGAGAGTTTGAATTTATTTCCATTTTGAAAAACAAATCCTAGCAGGCTAGATTTTCCAGAGCCGGTACCAGGGCTCTTCCTCAGGCCCAGTTCACTAGAGCCAAAGACCGGGCCAGAGGCCAGGCTGTGCCTGGGAGCGGAGCAGAGTGCTTCTCGGCCCTCTGGCTCTGGCTGCTTAGAGAGCATGGCCAGGGGCGCCCGGCCCCGGGGAAGCTGGAGTTTTCTAGCTTGATTTCTGCCTCAGTTCTCTGAGCATTCTGGTGAGGTTCTGACCGGCTTCCACCCATCTTTTTGACAGCTGTTCTCCAGAGATGCTCAAGGAAGAACAAAGACTTGGGATTAGGGTTCCCATTCGTTTGCCCAGTTCGGCTGTTACTGCCCTGCCTGGGTCAAGGTTACAAATTCGAATGCCAACAGGGCCAAGGTAACAAATGCAAGGGACAGAGGAGAAGACTGCTGGCAGTGACTCTTCCTTCACCCGCAGAGTGTGAGCTCACTAAATTGTAGCTTTGATTTTAGCGCTAAACTGATTAAGAAGAGAGGCGCCTATATGGAAGGAAAACAAGAGAAGGGAAAAATCCTCTCTCTCCGCGGTGAAGCGGGAATTTCTATTTACCTATGGGGCTGAATTCAGAAAGGTGGTTTAGGTGGGTCGAGGAAGGCAGCGAAGCCCCTTTTCTCAGGCCTCGAAGGCAGGTTCTCAGGGGCTTTCCTAGGGAAGGAAATGGAGAGAAGCGGCTAATTGCACACACATCACCCCACCTCCCCTTCCTTGGCGTGTACAGGGGGCTGTCCCTTGCAGTGGTTCTCAACCTTCCTAATGCCCCGACCCTTTAATACAGTTCCTCATGTTGTGGTGACCCCCACTTTCATTGTTACAAATTGAACATAATTAAAGCACAGTGATTAGTCACAAAAACAATATGTAATTATATATGTGTTTTCCGATGGTCTTAGGCGACCCCTGTGAAAGGGTCGCTCGACCCACAGGCTGAGAACCGCTGCTTTAAAGGCTGCGTGCGTTTCTGAAAGGTACGAGAAGCATTCCTTTGCGGGTCCTAGGTGGACCTGGGGGTGGCGCGTGCGAGTTCACCCTGTTGCTGCTCCGCACCACCCCGAGCGGGTCGTGGGCCGCCACGCTGTTGTCCTCGGCGCTGCTCAGCTCCTGGGAGCAGGAGGCGGGCGCGGGCGTCAGGCGCGGCACGGGCTTCAGCACGACCAGCGGGTCGGCCGCCGAGTTGTCCTCGGCGCTGCGCGTGTGGCGGCGCGGCGCGGGCGTGTTGAAGTGGAAGAGCGGGATCTCGTTCCTCCGCGACAGGAACTGCGAGTAGGGCGGCGGGTTGGTGCCCGGCAGGAAGGCCCTCTTGGCCCGGCCCAGGCTGACGAGGAAGCGGTGCTGCGGCGAGTGGTACACGTCGTAGCCGTTCTCCAGCGTCTGCTGGCTGAACCGGCAGCTCTCGGGGCTGAAGTGATGCTGCAAGGCGGAGGCGGCCGTGAGCGCAGCCCGGCCCCGGCCCCAGACCCGGCCCCAGACCCCGGCCCCGGCCCCAGACCCCGGCCCCGCCCCCGGCCCCGCCCCCGGCCCCGGCCCGGGCCCCAGACCCCGGCCCCGCCCCCGGCCCCGCCCCCGGCCCCAGACCCCGGCCCCGCCCCCGGCCCCGCCCCCGGCCCCGGCCCCGGCCCGGGCCCCAGACCCGCGCTCCCGGGGCGGACCCGCCTGGGGTCCCGGAGGCAGCAGGTGCTGGGAGGAGCCCCATCCCTCCCGAGTACTCTGCTGGGAGGTGCATTTCACCTGGCTGGGGAAACGTGGTTTGCACCAGTGCGTTAGGCACCCACCGCAGCTCCCACCCCCAGGGCGTGGCAGCCACAGGGCTCACAGCCCCGGCATAGAGGTGGGCGAGGGCGGACGGAGCCGCAGCGCGCCGGTGCCTGGTTCTGGAGGGAGGGCTAACTTACTAGTAAAGGCAGCCTTGTCCTTCCAGCGCTCTACCTTTTTGAACCCTCTTTTGGCTGGTGGAATGGCGTTTGAAGGAGAAAGGGGATGGAGTTTGGAGGGTCAAACATAAGTGAGGGTACTCACATCAGAGAAAATGTGATTTGGGAGTTAGGGACGTGAACTTTAGCAACAGATGTCCTAGGTCTGAGCCCTCAGTCTGCCACTAACTAGGACAGGGTTTTATTGAGTGCCTGCTAGGACCTCTGCATATTATATTTAGTTTAATCCTCAAACTCCATGAAGTAATGTTTTACAGATGAGAACTATGTATATGCAGTCAACAGCTATTTGTGGTCAACAGCTATTTATGTATCCATTTAATTTTCTATATTTCTTCAACAGGTATTTCTCTGCTCTGGGTCAGATACTGTTATTGATGTTGGGACACAGCAGTAAGCAAAACAGAAAGTCATTGCTCTCATGAAATTTCTGGTGCGTCTGTCTGTCTGCTTATCCTGAGATAAGCAGCCCCATTATTGTACCATCTCAAAACCCTTTGGGCTGTGCCTGCAACCTGTAGTTTGGGAAATCCTTTGCTTATCCGTCTGAAGGACCAGCCAGCACAGTTGGTGCAGAGAAAATTAATTAGAGAACTTTAACTAGGGGGAGCCCCACAGGGCAATGGTCCATCCCACTTTCCTTTTTCCATTCAAGGAAACTGAAGTTTAGAGGAATGGGGGGGCGGGGGGGGGGGCGCTTGACCAAGGTCAAGGAGGTCTAGTAACAGAACCAAGAAGACACTTACGGTTTCTCACCCTTCCTAATGCGCTTGATGACATGAATTGACATGGCTGAAGGGCCTTTGGCTACACACAAGGTGCTGTGTTAGATACACAGATGAAAACTAACAGGCATTAGACTACAGGCTAAGAGTTTGGGCCCCAGAGCCAGACAGGCTGGTTCAAACCCCAGGTGTATAAACCTGAGCATTTACTACTTCGACTGAAAAAAGTACTCAGTGAAAACAAGTCATCAAGATATTCTGCAAATGGAATCTTCAAGCTATAAACGCCTATGTTCTGTCAAAAAAAAAAAAAGATAATTATTTGCAAATGGTGATCAGCACAAAAAGAAACTCACGGATCCAAAAATGTTGCCTCTAAAGTCCATGCAGAGGTATCTCCTACTCATCACTCCAGTTATCACCACAAAGCCAGCGTCCTCTGATCTGATCATCAGGGCACCTGTGGAGAAAAGCATTCAGGTCAAACCTTGCTGTACGTCCAGTTCCCACCTTCGAGCACTTCTGGAAAACCTGCCTTCATGAATCTTCCCTTGATTAATTTTAATGGTCATGATGATTTCACAAACCCTCCTCTTGTACTTACTTGTTCAGCCTCATTTCTTCGTCACGCCCCCACTCTTGTTCCCTCTCCCCCAATTACCTTGCTCCTCACCCCCTTGCCGCATGGAGCATTCTGAACTCCCTGCATTCTTTCATCTGTGCCCTACACATGTTTCTCTCCTTGCCTGGGCTGTCTTTATCGTCTCCTTGCCTGGCTAATACCGCTTCACGTTTGTGTGGTAGTCACATTCCCCCAAAGCTTCTGCCTTTGTGATTTTAAAATCTATACCAAGATGTCTTTCAAGGATCCGGGTTGCACATAGAGCCTGATTCTCCACCTGAGTAGCTGTGCAAATGTCCCTGGTACCTCAGTCAACACCCATCATGTGTCAAAAACTGTATTAGAATTGATCTTCCCTCTCTTCTCTGCTTATTGAAGTCACTCATCCTTCAAGGCCAGGCTAATCTCCTTCATCATTAATTGTTCTTTCTTTTCAGCTCTCAGCACAATGCCTGTACCTCTATTGCAGCATGCATTTCATTCCCCTTGCTTTAGGGTTACATACCTAGTGTGTCCCCTAGAGGGAGCTACTTAGAATCAGATGGTTTATCTTTCCATGTTGAATAGGGTTGGATGGAATTTTTTTCTTGGGTCTTTATTGCTGTTCTTTGTCTTTTTCTCCTTGGTGATGTCCCCTCAAGGTGCTGTCCCTCATGGTCTTTCAATGCCCCTCTCAAAAACTAGTTTCTGGCAAGGGCCCCAAATCCATTCACACTACCTATACCTTAAATAATTGATAACAGCTTTAGTACACCCCTCACCCACTCCCATGGAAACTTGCAATTTTAACAAGTACCAATGCCTAGTTAAAGAAAGTCTAAAGCTTTCTGTTTTGTGGCAAGGGTACAATTCAGCAAGACTTATGCCCCACATGCTGTTTAATTACCTGACATTTTCTATTGAAAATCATTTCCTTAAATCTTTAAGGTCACTTCCATTGCCTACCACAGAATTTCCCCCTGCATCCCATTTGGCCTCAGCCCGCAGGGAGGAGCCCGGGTAGTGGTTCAAATCCCTCTTTTAGAAATGGTGTGTTCCCAGTAAGTGGTAGCATTTCATGGGTTGACTTACAGCCCGTCTCCTCCTCCACCCAATGTAGGATCAATACAAGACCTCTGAGAAGAGCAGCAGCCAATTCTTAGACACGAGCTGAGAACAGACCCTGATCTGGACTGAAGTCAGAATGACGTGGGACAGAGGAAATGAGGTGGGAGCAAGCCTAGAACGAAGAGAAAGGAGGAGGCCAAAGAGGAAAGTTAATTTGATTCCAAGTTTGGCTGAGGGTTAGCCTTGAGGGAAGCTTCTGGAAGCGGGGTGGGGTATGGGAGGTGTGGAGGATATTTGCATTGCTCCATAATTGGGTCTGCCTATGTGTCTCGAATAGGTAGCTAATTTTGTGGTAAGCCCTGAGAGAAACTTAAGGAACATGAAAGGAATAGTTCTGTCCTGATGAATTTTCTTTACATTGAGTAACTTTTTGAGTAATTGTGCGCCAAGAACTTTATGTATTTTAAATTTTCAAAACAACAGTTGTATTGTTAATATTATTAATATTGGCAGTAGCAGCATCCCATCTTAAGTGTTGTGGAAACTAAGGCAGGATTCAAACTAAGGTCAGTGGACCTAGCATCCTTTTCCTATCACCTTGTAGCTTGTCTCCAACAGAAATCATCAGAAGACAAAGTCAAGGCCCCACACAGTGGGTCAGGAAAGGAGCACTGAACTAGGAACTGGATTCCAGTCCCAATTATACTTCTTACTGACTTTGTAGCCTTGGGCAGGTCATGCTCTTGCCTCAGTTTCCTCAGTTGTGAAAAAGGAATAATAACAGCTGTCCTGCCTGCTTTATAGGGTTACAATTAGAATCTAATGGAATGATGGCTGTAAAAATGACTTCAAAGTGTTGAGCAAAGGAAAGGCATTAGACAGTATAGCTGACCTGCCATTATGACATCCTGTGCTCAGGGTCACTGTGGGCAGTGTGCATGGGACACCTGCTCTTGGTCTCCGGGGCCAGTCCCAGTAGGAATCAGCCTGCAGAGGAACAGTGAGCAGCTGGCTATGGAGGATGCTCAGACTTGAATCAAACCAACATAAGCCAGTGGGAAAACCAGAAAATATAAGAGAAAGACTCTGTTCCCTTTGCCATTTCAGAAGGCATGTTTTCACAGTCTGCACAGATGCGAGGGCAGAATTCAGCAGAAGGAAAGACTAAACCACTGGCTGCTTGAGTCACAACCTGTTGGAGCCAGGCAGAGTGAATGGACATTTCTTTTAGTCGCAACGGGTGGTGTGTGTGGCCCTGGGAGAAGCACAGGTTTGGGCTCATGGTATCCTCTAGGTCAATGGTCGGCAAGCTGCGGCTCGCGAGCCACATGCGGCTCTTTGGCCCCTTGAGTGTGGCTCTTCCACAAAATACCACATGCGGGCGCGCATGTACAGTGCGATTGAAACTTCATGGCCCATGTGCAAAAGTCGGTATTTTGTGGAAAAGCCACACTCAAGGGGCCAAAGGACCGCATGTGGCTCGCGAGCCGCAGTTTGCCAACCACTGCCTAGGTAGGTCATCTACTACCTATGTGACCTTGCGTGAGTTATTTAAATTTCCTTAACCTTTGTTTTCCTCATAAGTAGCAGAATCACCTCATTTGGCTGTCTAGAGGATGCAATGCGATATTTTTATCCACTGTAAAAGCACTTTCTAAATGCTGGTAATTGTTATATTACCTCTTTGCCTCAACCTCTGCTGTTAAAGTAGAAAATTACCTGCTCTGTTCTAGTCTCATAGCCAGTAAGTGACAAGTAAGATGATCTGTGTAAAGTACCGCCAGCTCCTCAGAAGAAAGAGAAGATTTTGAAGGATGAAGGAGCCTGAGGATAATTCAACTTCAAATAAAGAAAATGCCAACGAGGAAGGAAGCGACAGTAACTGCATCTAGGAAATGACAGTAACCAGGGGTAGTAAGCATCTTTTCTCGGCTGTTTGCACAAAGTGGGGGGTAACAGGGAGTGGGAGGGTGGCCTTGTTCATAGCAGGACAGGAGACACAGACGTCGGAGAGGCTCCCAGCCATCCGTGCTGAGTCCGAAGGGAGGTTACAGAATCTTGTAGGTAGGCAAGTTCACAGTGACCAACCACCCAAAGATGGGGTGGGCACTCAGCTATTAATCAAGAATTTGCTAAAGCACAGCAATCAAATGAGACAGATTTCACTGGAAATCTATAATGACTTAAGAGGGGAAAACCCACCCACTCCTTCCCATCAGTGTACATGTGTTGCTTTACACTCATTGAGGCGGCAATTATAAATCCTCTGTTAATTAGTTGTCCTACCTATCCACATACGCCCATGTTTCCTCTATTCTTTTTGGTAACATTTATCTTAACGTATGCATTTTTTTTTGGTAATGCACATGATACCTGATTTGAATAGTACAATAGATTATTCAAAGTAGGAAAAGTGTCTCTCACCCACCCACCACCTTGACCTGAGTTCCCCTCCCCGGGAGCACCCTGTTTAGCTAGCAGCTATACCTGACAAAACTTTTCTGTAAAATAAAAAATCTGAAATCAGTTCAGTTTATTTTACTTCTTCTCAGTCATTCTAATTCATTCCAACTAATACTCAGTGCCTTCGCTGGGCCTGACACGAGTGGATATTTGAGGGAAAGTTCTACATTTTGGCTTGCCTGCTCAGTAGGCGGAGCCCCATACACTGGAGCACTCAGCCCACCGCAGCCGGCTCATGCCAGTCTACTTTGCCATGTTCAGGAGGACTCCTTTCAGTGAAGGGGGTGGGGGGGTCCTTTCAGTGAAGGGATTCCATAATTTTAGAGAAGTTTTATAAGCATTCTCTAATTGAATGAAGCCCTTTCCATCTATGGGAATCAGAATAAGGTACCATAAACCACGCGTGCACATTAAACCTTGCAGTGGAAGTAAGGGTGACCCTCCATGGGAGCTGCAAAAATTGTATTTCCGAGAAGTCTGATAATAAGCTGGGGGACAGGGTGAAGTGCTTGAAGGGCCATGCCTGCCTTTGCAGTCACAGAGCTTTGCATGATGTCAGACACATTGTAGGCTCCGCTAAACACCCCTTGGATAAAATGAGCAGCACTTTGGATGTATCAAGTATATCCAGATTTATTTCAGATTTTCGCCATTAGACTCAGACTTGGCTTCCAAGATGTTGACTCCTGAATCCTACCTTATCCTGTTGAGTTCCGGAGCCTTTTTGGTATTTGGAGAGACCTTTTCTCCCTCCTCTAATCTCTTATCACCATCCATTGAGCACTTGAAGAGATTTGAACTGTTGGTTTTGCATGTGCATATACCTTGCTACCAGGTTTAAGAACCTTTGATTCTTAGCAGAATTACTGTCTTGCACACAGCAAAGCCACAGGAAAATTACTAAATAATTTAGTACAATATACAGCAAATAGTTTTCTGTAATTAAACAGATTGTGATTACTCTTCCATTCCTTTAATTTGTTCTTTAATTTAATCAGTATATATTTTTCTGTATTCTTAGAGTAATTTTTACATATTCTAGTAAAATAGAAGACCTTGTCTTTTTCAATATCCATCCGTCCTCCTGCTTCATTATTTCTTATATAGGTGCACACCAAAGGGCCCTCATATGAATCATACATAATTGATTGACTATTGTGGACTGTGATCCAATGTTCCACAAATGTAATCTTTAAAACATTCTAGTTGTCTTGTGTTGCCAAAGAGCTTCCAACTAGCTCATTTGCTACTGATTTGTACTGAACTGGGTAGCTCTGAAGCGCCTGGTGACCTGTTGGATGGATGCATGCATGGATAGATAGATGAGTGCATGAATGGTTTGTGCACATGGTCAGGCCCATCAAGACAACATACCTGGATAGTCTGTCTTTTATACATTTTTCCTGAATAAATTTAAAAGGCCAGAATACAAGAAGCTCCAAGTTGGAAAGAGCCCCTGAGTTCAGCTATTTCAAATTGGAGTTGGACACAGGCATCTTCTTCACAACCTCCATTGCTAACTCTGCCCAAAGCTCATAAGCTAAAACTCAGTGACTATTTACCTGTCTGTCTTTGCCCTCTGAACCTCCTTGCCTTTCTTGGACTCTTTGGACAGGACAAGGGAAAGTGGCTGCTGTTGTGGGAAGAAGGACTTTAGTTAAGATAGAAGGTATTCATGCCAGTAGAAACCAGTAAACGTTACCTAGGATGGTGGCAGAATCTTCTCCCAAGGTTTAAACACACACACAGAGGCTGGATTAGCCCTCTGGTCTAGCCCAGGGTCTCCCCATGTCCCTGGCAGGGGACGGGCAAAGGAGCTCCCCTTCCTCCCAGCCTGAATGAAGCCCCTACTCACTGTAGATGGTCTGATGGGGTGTGCCGTCCACATGGCCGTCCTTGTGGATCTGCAGGTGGTAGCTGTTCCTGGCTGAGGCCGTGTACAGGTGGGTCAGGCCACCCCAGCTGGAGCCGAGCAGTGGGGAGGCATTGGGATAGGCTCTGACCACACAGCACAGGGCCAGGACGCAGACCAGCAACCCAAGGCGGGCCCCTGGCATCGCTGCTCTCTGAATGGCTGGTGCGGAGTTTGAAACCTGACACTGCCTCCCTGACTCGGGGCAGCCTCTCTGGCCTTTTTCTCCTCTTCCCCCTGGTGGGTATCTGGCGTGAGGATCCCAGGCTGGATTCCCTCCTTTCCCCCTTGGGCTTTTAAAGGGTAGCAGTGTGACATCAACCAGGAAAACCTCCACTGTCCACATCCTCTGTGTTGTAATCAGCTCATTTGAAGAGAGTGCAGAGAACTCTGAGGCTCACAGAAGGCACGTCGGTTACACACACACACACACACACACACACACACACACACACACACCAATTTCAAGCCAACGCTCCAAGAAGTGGATGATGTGTGGGCAAAAGTTATCTATGACTGTTGACCTGTCCCACTTCCACCAGGAAATGTGAAGGCAGCCAGCGGTTCCGAAAAAATCCAGCTTCAGTCATGCAGTCAATAGACTCCTGTGCAATTAATCTCCCAATGAGTCTACTCATTTTGGTTTTCTTGGTCCTTCCCATCCCAATCAGCAACAATGTGTCCAGTGCTTTTCTCTGTGTATAGCACAGGTGGGCATTTGGAAGGACACAGAAATAATACAGAATAGCATCAGGCACCAGGGGTCCTCTGAGATCCCCCCATCCCACCCCACCCCATGAAGATACAGGAGCAGAGAACAGAGGGGCCTAAACCAAGGTTGCCATTGGGAAAGTTCCAGACAGGAAGAAGGAAAGCAAGGCCTTGAGTCTCTACTGCTCTACAAAATGAAATGCTGATGTTTGATTTCTCAGTGTCCCTGGTTGGGCTGTCTAGGGCAGAGGAGGTGGGCCATATCAGGCCCAAGAAATCATTTGGTCTGGTCCTGAAGGCAACTGCAGGCAGGACTCAAAAGTCAATAAGTCTAAGTGCCTTTTCCATAGCAACATAGTCTATATTGCTCTGGTCTAGGGCACCTGAACTGGTATTATGGTCTCTCCAATAATATGGAGACTCATTGAGAGACCTCACGAAGACCGGGAGACTGATGGCTGAGCACAGGGGTCAGAGCCCAGGAAGGTCCCAGGAGTGGGTGGCAGGCCAGAGAGTCCCCACAGTTAGTGTCTATTGGGTGCCTGGCTCCTAGGATGGGACCTTTCTCAGAGATGCTCCTCACAGGTGTGCCCTCTGGGAAGCTACACGTGATGGAGGACATCTTAGCACATGCAGCTCAACAGGGAGCAAGCTGCTGGAATGCATCCCAGGAAAACACACACAGGAGGCTGCGACTTTTCCAGTTCCCCATTTGTTGAGCGCATACCATGGACAGGCATCAGGCTTGGACACCGTGGTTGATTAAAGAGAGAGCAAACGGTGATCCCTGCCTCAAGGAGCTCACAGGCTAAGAGAGAAGGGAGGTAAAGATAAGTAACCACAACACAAAGCATGATGGGATGCACAATCATATAGGTGCTGGTGAAAGCGGCAGGGGGCTGGGGGGTGCATATGCTATCCTACATTTGCACAAGGCTTTATAGATTACGAAGCATTTTCATGTGTACCAGCTCATTTGAATCTCATTGCAGTGCTGTGAGATAGGCACTCCAGGCATTATCAGCATTTTTATATTACACATGAAGAAAAGGTCTTGGGATTCATATGTACACATAAATGAGATTGGACAATGTCTTCTGCTTTCCCAGATTGCTTCTTCAATAATAATCATGGCGGCAACTAACATTTATTGAGAGCTTACCAAGTGCTTTACTTGTACTAACTCAGTGAATTTTCATAATAAACCTCTGCAGAGATGCGGTTATTTCCTTTATAGTTATAGGAAACTGATGCACACAGTTTATACAGTTAATACGGGGAAGAGGTCAGATGGGTGTCTGGACAGTCTGACTCCAGCCCTCCTAAGCGCTTTGCTAGATATACAAACCCCACCAGCGCTAGGCGCCTGGTAAGGAAGTGCAGGTAGCAATGTGGCATATTCAGTGTTTCTCTAAGAAACCCAGGCCTTTACCCAGGATGTGTCTCTAAGAGGCAGCGTGCTGTCTTCCCAGGTTAGAGAGAAGATTTAGGACATTAAAAGGTTTATGTATAACACAGTCTTCTTCAATGATGTTCACAGAATGGTTCACAAGCATAGCCCCTCAACTCAGTTAACTGAAGAAACAGCCAAATACAAATACAAATCATTCAGGAACATTGGCCAGTTGACAACCCTACATTTCCTCTGTCGCTTGCGAATGGGAAAGAGATTGGAAGCACCCGTGACAGTGTGACAGTCGGTGGGCACTGAGAGCCTTCTCTGTGCAAGGGAAGGGCGGAGGGAGTTACAGGAATAAAGCAGTACAATCTTAACCTCAAAGGCTTATAATATTGAGCAGAAAAAAGAAAAACTTTGTTCAATACAAGGCACTGAGAGAGAGGAGCTAAATTACTAGACGTTTAATAAACGCTAAGGGGGTTCAGAGAAGCGAGAGATCACTGCAGAGGGCGGGGAGTGGAGGGAACGACACTGCAGTCAAAGAGGGCTTAAAGGGACCTGAGACTAGATGGAACCTTTATATGGACAGGCAGGGAAGGGTGCATCCCAGCGCCTGCCAGGTCACCTTGGGGAGCGAGTGCAGGTGTCTTGGGAAGCGCACCTGGCCATTGGCTCTGTTCCTGGGGTGAATGGAAGGGGAAGCTCCCTCGCCACTGCAGCTGGGAAAGAGAATTGATGTGCCACTTCCCAAACCTTCCCTCCACGAAGAAGCCCTGAATGCCCAGCAGCTGGATCTGAGGGCAGAGAACAATCCAGGGGAGTTGGTTTATTTCTGAAGGGAAAAGGGAGGGGGATGAGAGAAGAAGCATTTCCTATTTGGTGAGAGTGAAGAAGGTACAAGAACCTCAGAATAATTCTCCTCACCTGAGATATGGAAAAACTGAGAGTGGAGGGGAGGATTTGCCCAATAGCAGAACTTCCAGCTCCTGGCTGAACTGCCTAGGAGCGGATTCCAAACCTGGCCACCTGTTAGAATCACCATAGCCCCAGGACTGATCTCAGACCTGCTGAATCTGCAGGGGGCAGGCCCACTACTTGCATTTCCCCTCAAGCTACCTGGCAGGTTCTAATCCCCCACACTAGATGCCAATGACACTGAAGTATTTACAAGAAATAGCCTTTGAGTTCCAATCACAGAGTTAGTACAGAGACCAAGACCCCCTTCAGTAGTCTGCTCAATTTTCCATGCCCTGCTAGGATTTCTGGCCGACTGTGCTGATTGAGATGTAAATGGGCCTTTCTAGCGAATTTTGGTAGTGAACACTGCACCAGCACATGGTACCTCTGAGCAGCCTCCCCCTCCAGCCCGATGGGTGTGGCATCTCCTCAGAAGCTTCTGAGAACCTTGATAGAAAGGGGAGAGCCTAGAGGAAGTTGGTTCCAGTTCTTTGCACCTACAGGGCACTCATCTGTGACAATTCTGGTCAGAGGATTAAGAAACTGGTGTGCCCTTGGGAGCCAAATGAGAAAGGCTGACACCAGGTGGGAGCAGGAAGCCCAGGGAGCAGGCCAGTGGCTTGTGGTTCTGGGAAACCACTGTCCTTAGTGCCCAGGTGGCTGCCTGGCATGCAGCAGGTGGGCACACCTGCTCTTCTCCAGCCGGCCCTGCAAGCCCCTGCTCTGACTGAGGAGGATTTGCTGCGGGAGCTGGGTGGAAGCCTCGGGTCCATCCCTGCATTTACAGTCAGAGAACCGAGGCTCTAAACATGGCGGGGGGATGATAGGAATCTGTATTCCCAGTCGATTACTTTCCCTTAGCTCCTGACATCCTTTTCTCAGAATCTGATCTCCCCCAGGTCATAGTCTCTCAATCTGAAGACTTTCCAACAATTCAGATGTTCCCGTCTGGGTGTTTTTTTGGGGGATAGGAAACCGTCTTGTCTTCTAGCCCCTCCCCCAATCGTTTGCTTTGTCACCTGCTATACTTGATCATCCACCTGGGAATTACCCAACTGTGGGTGGTGACTGAAAGTGTTTAAATTCTCTGCTGGTTGGCTCATTTCTTTCTCCCTGCCTTGCTCATCATGCCCACACTGGATTAGGGGGAGACTCAAGTAAGGCAGTTGCCTTTAATCTCATATTTAATATCATATGTATGATTATGTACATTTATATTGTGCTACCATAGGTCACTATAATATCAGTCTCACCCAAAGAGGTGTAGTCAAAAGTAAATCTAAATATATAAATAGAACCCTCATTATTCATTCACTCCAAATGAAATAAAAATGGCTTCTGTAATATTATAGAATCCATGCAATTGCTATGTTGCTTTTGGTGCAATAATCAGAAGCTTGTTTTGTAGGACTAAGAGGGGTCGGTATGGCAGATGCCTCCACTGGGAACCTTAGTGAATGGACGGTCACAGTTGAGCTGGAGGGCAGAGGACATGAGAGAAGTCCAAGCGACTGATCTGTAGCTGCAGCCTTTTCCTTCCCTCCCAGGTCCTCAGTCCTCCTTTTTCCGCTGACACCCATCTTACTGGAACCTACTCCCAGCCTCCACCTCTACAGCCTGAGGGAGATAAGGCAACGTGTGTCCCAGGCTGGAGGAGTCCAGGCCTGTGAGTGGTTTCACAAAAGGTCCACTTTGGGTCATAAGAACAGGGTTATGCTTCTTTCACTCAGAACAAAGGCAAAGAGTTAGGTCGCACTTGCAGTGGAGGCAGCGTGGGTGACACAGCTTTTGAATTAAGGGCTTGCAGCATAAAGTTTGTCCATTGGTACTGCCCTCCCCAAACCCTGCATAGTCACACGTCCACAGGGCTCTTTGACTCCCCTTCCTTTCTCTTCAACACTCTGCCTTCAAAATAAAATAAAATAAAATAAAATAAGTTAACTCTATGTAAATAGGGATTTTTAATTTTTCAAAATACTTTTATAATGGTATCTCACTTGTCCCTCACAGAAATGGTCTCCTTGAGAGGGACTTTTCCAAACTGTTATTCCTACAAATTGATATGAAATCAAGTGTCCTTGTGGCTGGTCAGACTTCATGGCCTGGCACTTCATGGCCCTGACACCCCCTCCTCAGTCTCCCCT